ATCCTGGATGCCTTAGGGAAAAAAGGGAAGAATATATTTGCATCACGCTCATTTTTCTGGCCTCAAAAATTTTTGCACTCTCCATTATTACTGGCATACTAAAGAAACTTGTTTTATTGCTGACAAGCATTTCTCAGCAAAACTAGACCACCAACGCTAATTGTAAATACACATATTATGACAGCTTCTAAAAGCCTAGTAGTGAAAGCTTCTCAGCTTCTCTCACTGCTTCCTAAACCTCTGTAGAGCTACAGCAATTTATATCAGCAGGGCATCTGCCGTGTTTAATTTTATTTCCTGAGAAGCACTGCTGTAGAGATGCTGAACGACAGTCCGGGGGCCATTAGCGGTTCCCAGAGTGAGTGCTGGTAATCCACGGAGAACCGTCTGACCTGGGTCTCCCAGCCTTGCATGCAGCTCTTACAGCAACGGCTTTGTTAGGTATTTCTCCACATGAAATCTTGCTGTTAGCACATACGACTGATTGATAAAAGCAAGGAAGGTAGTTTGTGAAACAGTTGACCTAGCTACTGGTGTCAGCCCAGAAAGTAATTTAGAGCCAGAAAAGCTCTGAAAGTATAGCACAACATTAACTGTAGTAACCTTTTTGTAGAGACACGCTTTCAGAAAGAATGCTCTTAACTGAGGGCAAATTACTACCACGTACACATGGCAATTTCAGGTACATTCACTTCCTTGTTCTCCTCATCTCTCCCACCTATTTCCTCTATTTTCGCATGTCCACATCACAAGTACGTGTTCATTTCTTTTCTCCGGTCTCCCCTTTCCCCTTCCCTTCCTTGCAGATTTGCCAGGGGCACAGAGAGTCTGCAGACACTCTTCTCTTCAATGGACAGATTCCAGAGGGAATTCAGAATAAGAAAGGAAATGAATTAGGAGTTTCACTCAGCCAGGAAGGGTCCAAGTGTACAGCAGCCAGAGGCAACTCACTGTTTTGACTGGGTTGTCAAAACACGCAAATCAGTGTACCTGTTTATTTAGTGTCTCCTTACCCCACCTCTGTTCCATCCTTTTGGGGATGCTATAGAATAAATATTTGTTCAATGTTCATTCTTTCTCAAAAATTTTTTGATCATCACTTTAACTACTGGATCAAGTACTTCTTACAGATCTTAGAGTGGTAATCTTAGCAAGCTCCTTTCCTCCTCATTCTTATGAAAACCTAACATACCAGTTTTGCTATCATTTAACATAACATTTTATTTATTAATTTTTATATTTGGGAAATGTGCCCTATGAGATGTTAAAAGAAAAACATGTAGCAAAGAAGTGTAGAAGGTTAATTATTCTGCTGCACCAAAGCACTACTCAAATGCATAGGAGGATTCTCACAAACAGAAAGGAAGACAGCAGCTTTTCTGAGCAAAACATCAGAATCTAACACTTAAAAGGTATGATGAGGGTCTGCCACTATTCCAGTCTACTGTGCAAAGGCACGCAGAGCACCATCACCCACCACAGTGCTCTGATGACTGAAGATGGGATTAACAGCGGTAAGCGTGCCCCCCTCTCTTACTCTCTGTCCCTTGACTGTAGCGTTCTGACACCCTGCTTTTAAGTGTGGGTGCTGTCCCGATTTACACTTCTGAATGTAATGTAATATAATCATACCCTGTGATTGGACCAGAAGGTTATTTATTAGCTCTGAAAGGATTTTTTCCACCATCTGTATTGATGAATTGTAAAAGTATTGTCTCTTGTGCGCTGTGCACGAGGCAAAGAGTGACAATGTGCTAGAAGGGCTGAGCTGTTAACTGCCACTCTCAGCTTGGAGCTGGCCTGTGAACTCCTACAACAGATTATTAATTTGGGGAGTTCACAGAAACACCTGTGAGAATGCAAATTTATTATTACACCTTTTTTAATTGATACCTGAAACTCTCTTAGTGTTCTCTCATAGTAGGTAACATTGTCAACTTGGCCTTAGAACATGACTCATTCCATTACACAAACTGGATAAAACCAGTTGTCTCGGTTAAACCCTCAGTTTCATTCAATACCTTAACAGTGAGATTCCTGAAAAAACTACCTTCATGAGATATCCAGTGATCAACAAATACGCTGCATGAAATCCTTATAGTTTTTTTCAGAGCCTTTGGGCTCAGTTCGCTTTGACCTTAACCTCACAAGTAAGTCTTGCTCCTTTCCACTCCACTGCATGAGAGGGAGCATGGTTTTATCCTTTGGCCACTTAGATCCATCAGCATGCCCCGTAATGTTGCTTCTGCCAACCAGGTCACTTCACAGACATGCTGGACATGCAAAGCAGCAAATCAGTTGTGGACAACGTGGAAACGGTATCATACAGTTGAGAATTTACAAATGTTAGACGAATAGCATTTTGTTATTTGCTTCTGAATGTAAGAAACATATTGAGAATTTTGTGCTTTTAATTTAAAGAAGTAGGGCAATAACAGGAGCATGAAGACAACCATTAAGGACATAAATAAACTTTACCACCACAGCCTAAATGCTGATGAAACTTGACAGGAGGAGAGGAGTGGGATACTTTGGATGGATCGTGATGGGAGTGGACATATGTTGTTGGCAATATTTTCTAAGTTCGCTGTGCCTGCTCAAGTTTCCTGGTCTGTCTAGATGATTTCTGCAGAGAGAATGAGGTGAATGAGGTCCTGGATTGCAAAGCAAGGAATGTGGGATATCAGTAGTTAGCCACGTAACTGGAATTTGAACATTCTTTGAGGAACTGACTTGAATACCTTTTCAAATGTGAAGTCAAGCTTCAAACAAACAGACAAGTCCTGCCTAACACGAGCTTCCAAAAAAGCATTCAAAGGTACTTTAACAGTGTGATCCCATGACTGTTTAAGCTGACTCCAAATGGCATAGCTACAGTGAACTTGTCTGATATTTTATTGAGTCAGCACCGAGAACTCAACAACGGAGAAAGCTAACCAAAAGAATAGCTTTGTGCAGATTCCGCTCCAGGAAACAGACCACCATGGGATGAGCTCTAAGAATTAGGGTACAGGAATAGACAGCTGGAAGGTGACAGCAGCACCAAGAACCATTTTAAACCCATCAAGGAATCAAAGCCAAAATGAGCTGGGTCAAATGGACAGAAACTTGAGCTGCTGCTCTGCTCCCAGAGTAACAAAGACTTTCCTAGAAGATACTCTGACTAAGGAATTTTGCTTCTGTGCCCAGGAGACTGAAAAATGTTTTAACGAGTTTTAACGACTATAGTTGTGTGGATGGTTTATATTCTCTTCCAAGACTAAGTCCTAATTTCAAAGCAGGTCAAGATCCCTCTGATACATAAACAAAACAGAAATTCTGATTTCTTAGACTGGCATCAGTCAGGAGCCAGGTCTAGTCCAGCCTATGCCCTACATAAAATTCACATGGAACCTCATGAATTCCAACAAGGCTAAGTGCAAGGTCCTGCACATGGGTCGGGGCAATCCCAAGCACAAATACAGGCTGGGTAGAGAATGGATTGAGAACAGCCCTGAGGTGAAGGACTTGGGGGTGTTGATTGATGAGAAGCTCAACATAACCCAGCAATGTGCACTTGCAGTCTCTCTGTCATGTCAACAGATGTCAGATACTGCTTGAACTGTGACTCAACTTTGAGGCCTACTGCATCAGATATCAAGGTCTCTCTCACTCAATTTAAAAACTGGAATTAGCATAGTAATCTGTTTCCTTCTCTCACCACTGTGGGGACATCTTGTGATTGCTGCTAACTGATATAAAACATGCTCCTTCCTGTTACCTTGATCTCTCCCTGTCTGACTTTTTCTGATTTACACGCAGACTGGATGTGCCCTAGACATGTTCACAGTAATTAGTACAATAGGTGCCCTGACTGGGGACTCTGAACCTCACCAGACACAAATAATGCATCCACAAGCACCATGTGTAATGCTCTGTAAACCTCATGTTTGCTTCCCAGTATAATTCCCACATCTACTTAATACTTGTCTAATATACATGCTATAACCAAGAATGTTTTTGAGGCTACCTTCATAATTTTTTCTCAATTGGAATTAAAACATAATTGCAATATATTCAAGAGACGCTAGAGGGAAGCCAAGGCATCTCAACAACTCTCTCGAACAATACAGCTTGCAGTCCTAAAAGCAAAGTTAAAAACAAAAAAATTTTAACGTGGTGTAGAAAATACCAGTTATACTTACTATATGTAAAGATGCCAAACAAATTATTAATTTACAGCATGGCTTTGCTGTTTCTTTTTCATTGGCACTCTGCATGCTGTTAGGCTCCAGGCTGTTGCCTCTAGGTGTTCCCTTGGTGATGCTGAAAGCCTGGGAACTTTCACAGTTCTAACACTTGACAGTAATCTCATGAAGCATTCAGACAGTATGATAACTTGTGAATATACACCGTAAATATGGGTGGTGAATATGTTCGTGTGTTTTATTCCTTATTGGCTGTTTGTTACACAGTTGCTCCGGTAATTTCTACTGTAGACATAATTTTTTTTTGTTATTTTTTTCAGCACCACCACACTGACAAGGCTTTCAGGATGTGTGGTTCATCCCCTCCGTGTGTCCCTTCACCATCATTACAAAAAGGGCTCATTTTCACCCAGGGTACAGAGGTAAGTCAGATGCAAATATGGTCAGAACAACTGGTTTATATTCCTGCTCTGAGCTGCAGTGATCAGGCACAGGGCTTCTTTAGGGTACCCCAAAAAGCTCTGGTCATGCGACTGACTTGCCCTTAAGTTCCCCTTTCCCCTCTCCCAACTTACTCTGCCACCCACATTTGCTCCCAACCAAGCAGCTGTTTACCCTTTTGCCATTGTCCCCAGTTTTGCTGACTTGATATTCTCATTTGGTTTTTACAATATGGGTGCTCTTGGTACTTTCTACGCTGGCCATTAATTCTGTTAAATTAGTACTGCTTTATTTTGCCCGTAGCATGCTGCTGTTTCTCATCCCACTGCCTTTTTAGAAGCGACGCAAATCAGGGTTAACCATTGGCGCATATACCTTAACATATCTGTTTATCTCCACTCCCCAGCAAGAGGGGTAACAAAAAAAACAAAAACAAAGAACATTTGATATACAAAATAAGCTGATGGTAACACAATGCCAAAAATAGCTTATTATGTTAAGTGCAAGGGAGAAAAGCCTTGATATAAAGCTTGATTGCAACATTTCAATTTACCTGTTTAAATACAAGACTTGCATTAAAATATTTCTTGAGATACATCTCTGGCTCTCTAAGGTGAGTTTTTTTAAATTTATATACACGTATCCAGTTGTAACACTTGACAGTAGTCTCATGAAGCATTCAAAGAGTATAACTTGATAAGTACACACTGTAGATACGAGTGGTTAATGTCTGTACGATTTCTTCCTTCAAGGGTTTATAACATTATGTTGAGTACTAGCCTCAGACAGGTGACCAGCCACCTGATACAGTATAATACCCCCAAGCCCTTCCCCAGAGTCCCACAGTCTATGCTTCCAATGCTCACTGGATCCAGATGGTGTTGCCTCTTTCTGGTCTGCGAGACTCCACTGTCAGTTCTCCAAAAGTGGAGAAAAACTGCTCCATTTCCTTCTGCAACATATCATTCCTCTTCTCTGCATCTTCCTTGGCGCGTTCTGCATTACGCATTTTGATTTCTACCATTGTGAACTTCTTCCGCTCTTGATCCAGTTCTTCATGCAGGGCCATCATTTCCGTCTCCAGGGTGAGATTTCTCTGCTCCAGGCTGCAAAAACAAAATAAAAGCAGACAGCTCCTGAGCAGCACTCCTCACTCACTCGAGCAGAAATGCACACCACCGACAAATTCATACACGTGTCTAAGCTACAAAGATTAGACTGAATTTTTGAGAGGTCTATCTACAAACCACGGCTTCCTCAATGAACCATTCTCATAGGGCAACCTCTTTGGTAGCTCATTTAGAAAATGCCTAATAACAGCCACTGGCAAGGTGCACAGTAGCAAACAGCTCCATCTAATTCTCCAGGAACAGGCTAAGTATTCCTTTTTCTGAAGTTGCACTAGTGTCGCTTACAAAGTCAGAATAATGCCCTGAATGCCTTTGTTTCACTGCTAATCTCTTTTCTTCAGTTGATTTATCTGCTGTATCTATTTGCAAATATGGATCGACAATTTCAAAAAAACCGCAAACAATATGGTTTTTGTCTAAAAAACTGATCCTATTTCAGATCCAGCTTTCCAATGGAAAGCATTAGAAATCCTAGTGGTACTAAACACACAGTCATCGTGCATATTAAACATTATAAGAAGTGCTCTACTACACCGCATACTATGCTGAAAATAGTGATGTGGGCGAAAGACTGCAATATTCTGTACGCTGCATTTTTGCTGGCAGCTGCTGCTGCCAGTAGCTCTCACATGTTGTGATCCAGCTATGACTTGCAGTGCCAGAGGTACCATGCAAAGGGCTGCTGTGCAACAGAGGTGAGAACAGAAAACAAGTCCTGAACAGCTTTACTGAAGAACCTTTATTACAAAGCAAGCGCATTCATCTCTGCACTGTTGTGTGCACTAGTTAATGTTATTGAACATGATCCATGGGCCAGCTGAACATGAGCCAACATTGTGCCCTGGCAGCCAAGAGGGCCAACCGTGTCCTGGGGTGCCTCAAGCACTGTATTGCTAGCCGGTCGAGGGAGGTGATTGTCCTGCTCTACTCTGCCCTGGTGCGACCTTATCTTGAGTACTGTGTGCGGTTTTGGGCCCCACAGTACAAAAAGGATACTACTAGAGAGACCTTATTACAGTATACAGCTTCCTCACAAGGGAAGGAGGAGGGGCAGGTGCTGATCTCTTCTCCCTGATGACCAATGATGGGACCCGACGGAACGGCAGGAAGATATGCCAGGGAGGTTTAGGTTGGACATTAGGAAAACGTTCTTCACCCAGAGGGTGGTGGAGCACTGGAACAGGCTCCCCAGGGAGGTACTCATGGCGCCAAGCCTGACAACATTCAAGAAGCATTTGGACAATGCACTCAGCCATATGGTGTGATTTTTGGGGTTGTCCTATGCAGGGACAGGAGTTGGACTCGATGATCCTTGTGGGTCCCTTCCAACTCAGGACATTCTATGATTCTATGCCCAGATTTTGAGGTTATTCACTCTAGCAACCTTGTTGTACGTGAGAACAGTCTGCACTATCTGCAGACAAAGACAGGGCTCTCCCTTGCCTTCTTTAACAGGTCGGAGCTGTGAAGGCTCAGGCAAAACAGCAGTGCAGAGACAGGACTGTGAGCAGAGGTAACTCCCAGATGCAGCACTGTCTCAAGAGAAACGAGGACTCTGGAAAGGAGTTGCAGCAGTCTCCCAGTCCCAAAAACTACAGGTGAAATAAGCCACAGCACTGCTTTCACTGGTAGCTGACACCCAGTTTCCCTTCTCAGTCCCTGGAGAACAGGCATCAAACTAATGAAAACATTTTGAGAGCCTACTGATTTTGTTAATTAGGTTCTACAGAAACTCACGAGGTTCTGGCTTTATTTTTGATGCCAATAGGATAGTGTGTCGCAACCATGGCAAGCAATTGCTCTAAAACAAACCCCTTTAGATCATATCACAAAGTCAGAGTATGTCAACACTGAAAGATGGGAAACGGTGGCGAGCACCCAGTGACTGCAGCTAGTGCAGATTGCTAGCAAGTCACAAGAGGGAAAACTTGGATTTACTCTGCAAAAGCCAGTCGGATGGTAGAGCCAAACTATCTTACCTTTTTATCCTCGTCTCATACTCTAGTTTTTGCTTGGCCATCTCTTGCTTCAAGCTGGACACCAGGCTGTGCAAAGCACTGTGATTGTTAGTACTGTTGGCCACAAATGTTTCACTGTTATCGCTGCTGCTGGTGGCTCGGCTGCTGTGGCCCCCCACGCTTCTTCTGTCACTTTTGTTCTCATAGTCACCTGGGTTAGAGAGGTCTTCATGTGGTGGTCCATCCAGCACAGAGTCTTCAAAGTTACCCGCATAAAAGTCCTGCTCAGGGCAGGTGGTGGTGGATGAACGGCAGGAGTTGGAGTTCTCAGGGAGGGATATTTCACAAGAGGATGTTGACCAGGTGGCACTGTCCACACTCTGTTTGTCATCAGAGTTCACCATAGAGAACTGCTGGTGGACATTGTCATAGGTGGAAAGCCTGTTGTGCTGGCCTGACTCACTCACCGACTCCTTCTGCTTGTTGTCCCTCAGTGTGACGTAGCCATTGGGCACCCAGCCTGGGGTCCGGCTGCTGAGGGTGTTGCTGTGTCCATCTGTGCTAGAAACACCCATCCGCACACCTCCATTCTGCACGCTGTGTGTGCCCATCTTAGTCACCGGTCCTTTCAGGGACGACGTTCTCCTGGTTTGCAGGGTACAGTTTGGTAAGGTCTGGCTCTTCTCAGGGCCCTCCACAGAACTGCTGAAGGACCCATTGGTGACTATGCCACTGCCTTTATTAAAAGCAGGATTTTTTTTCACCATGAGTGGTGGGCTTCTGGTGACATCTAGTTTCTGGATGCTGTTCCTGGGGCTATTTGTCTTGCTGCCTGGCAGAGCAGTCGGAGACTCATTGTCCATGCTTCCCCTTTGGGGAGACTCAGGTTTGTCCCAAGAACAGCGCCTCACTGCTGTTTCCTTGGTGTTGTTGTTCTCTTTGTTCTGTAGCTGCCCCGCAATCGCTTTCTTCGGCATTTCATTGTTATTGTTGTATACCTCGGGTCCCATCTGAGGATCTGCATCCTTGGGAAACAGCTCTTCATGTTTGCTAATCATCACTGACATTAGCTGCTGAACTACTACTGTACCTGAAAGGAGACACCAAACACATGGTTATTAATGGCCTGTTTTGTTTAGGGCATAAATATACTTTATCCATCAGATTCCACAAATACTTAGTAAACATTTGGCTTATACAATGCATCCATCTGTGTAACACCCTGAATGTTTAACACACCTGAAGTGCCTCTGGCTACCGGGCCAGATCAGCACCACCTCTTCCTTCCATCAAACCAAGCCAGCAGGCCTCACAGACCCCCTAAGAACAGGAACTTCTGCGAAGAAGCTATTACTGTGACAGCAGCTGCATCCCAGGAAGACCACAGAAGGAGATGACGAGTAGCAAAGGAAAACATCATTGTAAGTGATGCATTTCAACTCAACGTGGCGATCATTTTTAAAATGAAAGTCTTATTCTGGCACAGCACTTGTATTTAGTAGATTAACAGAAAACGGGCAGGCAAGGGATTTAGATTTTAGACAGATGTTTTAGTCTTTTGGAGCAAAACAGGGCAGTAATATGACAGAATTAATTTAATGCAAATGCCTTTAACCACTCCGTGGTGAGACTATATGCAACCAGGAACCTATGCCACGTTATAGCACAGTTCAGAATTAATGCAGGACCACAGCTTGCTACTTGGTGTAATAAATGGCTACCCTTCCTCTTAGAGAACAACCCCTTGGTGTGCACACCACTTGACTGCACTGTAATTTACACACTAGCATTTATAACTGGACTTGGGGTAATAAAGATATGCAACTCTATTTCGTTAAGCAGACCCTCATTAAGGATTATTAAGAGTATTTCAGGAACAAGGTCAAGGGAGTTATAATAACCACCCCATTTTTAAGCTCCTAGAGAGCTTTCAGAGGCATGCTGTGCTCTTCTAATCAGCGGTTTCCCACTGTGCAATATCGTTTCATATCAACTCCTCCTTAATATTCTGGATCTTTATACCCCACCCTTTTAAAATACAACTACTAAGAGCCAATTCAATGTGGGTACTTGACAACATTTTTTTTAGTGTTCTTGTTTGCTTGTTTGCTAAGGCAAAATCATACATTAGAACTATGCAGCAGGAAAATTCACTTAGTTACTCCCATGGCATATTTAGCTGTATTCCTCCTGAGAACATTCGCTGTTATGCGCAGAATTTTACTACAAACATTGCACTGTACTCAAGCAACTTCTGCCACTGCGTTTGACAGGAAAAAATTGCCCCATGATTGGAATTCTGGAAAATCTCCTCTCTTGAACCAAAGAACTCCTCATCCCCATTTTACAGGTATGATTACCCATAGCTGCATGTTTGACTTTGAATGATTGTGCAAGAAAAGCACTCTCTATTTTCCAAAAAGCAAAGAGCAATGAAGAAGGGTGACCATGAGCAGTCTTTGTTAAAAGTTCCTATACATTAGCTATGCATAGCCCAATTGCAAATCAGCATTGTCTCAAGTCAAATCTTAAAGTTATGCTTAAAGAGAAGTCATAAATCTGTTTAATCGAACCTGTTTCTCATTAGTTAAAAAATGTATGTATTTCCCTTCAATGAGTGTAGTATCCATGCCATTTCCTACAGCAGCCACCATCATTTTAGTGCTAGGGCTGTTGATAAGCAGGCTGGAGAGTTGCTTTCAAGAAGTGGAAAAACATATTATTTTCCCTTTCCACCTGGTTTAAAAAAAAAACCAAAAACAAACCAATGAAAACTTTCTTGGTCAAACTTTCAAAAAAAACCCCAACCCACAAACTTTAGGCAGCAGCCAGGTCTAGAAAAATATAAACCTAGAAGATAGTATTTTATTTAGGAATAGCTAACTCTTCTCTCCCCATCCCAAATCTCCATTCATCTCCCCTGCTCCAGGTGAGCTGAAGATATATTGTATCCAATCAGTAAATGTCATCAGCGTTCTCATTGACTTCAGTGGTATAAATCACCTCTGTGACATCTCTCTCCAATTGCAATCTATTGAACAATTCAAAGTACTTTTTGTACTATTTAATGCAAAAGCATGGGAAAAAAGGGACAGTCTTCTGCCTGACCAAGAGAAACATTCACAGCAGTTATCTACCAGCCTGCTAAGCTCTACAGAAGTTTCAGGCTAAGAGAAGCTACTATTCCAGTCAGTCTGGCAGTTCTGTAGGTACAGACAGACAGGTTGAAAGCGAAGTGATAAGCAGCATGCGCGCATGCACACACACACACAAAAAAACCCTAACTCCTGCAAGAAACATGACAAGACAGTTGAGGAGGAAGGAAACAAAGCAGGGAAGACTCTTGTGTTTCTCTCTCAAAATACCATGGGAAGATGATGTAAGATGTGTAAACTAGGATTTCAACGACACGGCGAAGCTTATCTCTGCACCCCCATATCAGATAGTCACAACGCATTTGAGACATGTACAGAAACCAGGGGGAAGCCACAAATGCAGATTTAAGGGTATTTGAAGCCGTACAGGTTTGATGATACTCACGCACAGTCATAATAAACATGCACGTAAATTGGACACCTGCTCTTGTAAACCCTTTTGAGTCAAATGCATGATCAAACCATTCTCTGTGACAATGAGAATCCAGACATTAAAGTGAAGATGACGATTAAAAACCCTTTCCATGTTACAAGGTTTTCTGGCTTGTCTGAGCTACTATTCAGACAGCTAACCCTGGGTATTCACTGCTTTCATACATGACTTGGAAACGCCACGTTTCTGTTCACAACAACATAGTCACTGTGTTAAGAATTAAAAGGAAGAAGGAGGAAACATAAGACTTCAGAAAAGCAAGTAAATGAACAAAGTATATGGGGAATTGTTGTATCTGGGGAAGAGAAAAAGCATCAAACTCACAGAAAAATAATAAATCCACATGCTCTCAAATAAACTATGAACACTGCATTTTCGACTTTTGGTAAAATTTTCAGTGTAGGATCTGTGTACAGCCCTAATTTCTGAGAAAGTCAAGTAAATCCTACATATTAAGGAAAAAGTGATTGGAGGGAGAAAAGGCATCACGTACTTTATGGAGAATTAAAGTCACAAAGATTAAGCCTAGGAGGAAATTATAAGAGGACATTGTCATGGCCATATTTTTGTCTTAATCACAGCAAAAAGCTACAGCTGGACATTGCTGTATATAACAGAGTGCAGCTGACAATTTGATCACTGTTGTGCAAGAAGGCATGTAATATACCACTGCCTTGTGGGGGATTCTACATGGGTCACTGCAGTATGAATCTGTACTAACTTTTTCTCATCCTTAAGAACAGCAGGTAAAATATTAACTGCACTCCAACCACACATGCTGAATAAGAACATGCCATATTTGCAGCAAGTTTCGAGAGAAAAAGTACATTTTTAGTGAAGTTGCCAGGGCAGCACAATCTCATGCAAAGTCTGTTTGCAATGCTGCACATCTCAGTCACTTTTATAGTAACCTGCAAGATTTAACCCAGAAGTTCATTCAGGTTGAAGAATTCTGTGTCTATAAAATAGATACATGGAACTTACTGCACATACTACATGGACTGGTATGTACTGTTAATAAACCTAAAGACATTCCTTCTTTCTGTTACAAGTTATGTACAGTAAGCTCACCCTCCATGATAGTCAGAGGATCTTCTACTTTGGGGCGAAGGATGTTGGGGCCAAAAACAGTAGCCAGATTTTGCACACTCATTTTGTTTACACCCGAATAAGACTGGACTTCATCAAGGAATCTGTGGGGAAGAAAGAGGCCTTTAAGGAACATGTAAAAAGGAAATTCAGAAAAAAAAAAAAGTCAAAGCGTGTGACCGTTTCTTAACATAGTTCAAGAATTCCATTCCAAATCCTCATGGAGCACCTTGAAAGCTCAAGGATATTCTCCTCAGCTTCTTCATATTTTCTTCAAAATGATACATTGATAACGAAATTTAAATCTCAATCTGGACTGACTACAACTCCATTGAAGATGGTAACTTTCTCCAGCATAATTAATCAACTACTTGGCTCATAAAATATCCTCAAAATGCAAACTGTCAATTAAAAAAAAAGTTTATATTCTTTTAATTTTTTTTTTTTTATACTGGGAACAAATTAAAAAAAAAAAAAATAAGTTGACAAATTGCAACTGTGTAAGACATGTTTTTTAAGATCTTAGCTGTATCCACGAAACTATTCTATATGCTACAAGACATACACAGTTTTCAAGGATACCATGCTTCAGGAGTGCACAGCCAAGGCCAATAACTGCAGTTAGAAATGGGAAAACCAGGGTCCTACAAAGAGGACAGCATATATTCACTTCTATCTTCTTGCGTTTCTTGCTGAGTGCAGCCTCCTTATGAAAGGAAAGTCATAACTGTGCACCTTGACAGAGCAAATTAGTAATTAGTCATGCAGTAAACCTATATTTTTGGTGCATGCACTGAAGTTCACCAATCCTCTGACTGTGAATAATGCTTTTCCTTCAGGGCACATACACAGACAGGTTTCTCTGTCAGTTCACAGTTATAAATATCATTGTGATATTCTTGCAAGCGAATTTACTTACCTACAGATATATTTCAGCAGATTATAATTGACAGCTGGCAGGCTCTTCACTTGCTTCACCAGTTCTTTCAGGCCCTTTAAGTAGTTTAAGAAAAAAAAAAAAAAAAAGAGTGGGGAGGCACAGTTTCTTAGTATTTTACCAGAGATTCAAGAAAATGTCAGCAATTCGAATTACAAGACAATAAACACATCACTGAAATTGCAGCTTTAAAAGCTGTATACAGGTTGCCATCAGGAACAGCTTGTAGAACCCATTTTGGATGGGGAAAGCTATACTTGGCTAACAAGGATTAGCTCTGGATAAAAATAAAGAAGTAAATAAATAACTCGGTTTCATCCTGTCTTTCCCTTCTCTTTCACTCTTTTTTTTGACCAGCAGCTCTCTTCCTCAGGCTGAGGCTTCCAGGAATAGTTCTGGTTTGAACTAGTTCGCATTTTCATATGAGAAACTATTTGGGTATTTTACCCAGTTCTGGTCCATACTAGATTCTTCCCAATAAAGAGTTATTTCAGTTTGTGCCCACCCCGGGAATGGGACAAGCAGATATCACACACTAATTTCTGTGCCCTGTGGAAACAGACCCTGGCC